TAAATTTTAATTTTAACCTGCCTATTAGTATTACTAATACTTACTTAGCCTTCTATAAAGCTTAGTATAATACCTATATATATTATAATAGTAATAAGTAATATACTTAGATATAGAAGTATTTTCAGTAATACCTCTATGAGGAGATTATAGTTATATATAGAGAAGTAGTAATTATAAGCTATAAGTCTATAAGTATAATAAAAAAGCCTTCTAGCTAGCTAAATTATAACCTATTATTATTACTAAAGAAGAAGTAATATATATAATACTCTATAGTATATAAGTATAAAATATTTAGTAAGAGGACTTTAAATACCTTATTTATTAACTATTAAATATAATATAGGTATATAAAGTATAGTATAGTACTATATAAGCGATACTAGGATAACTAGTATACCTAAGAGGGGGCTAGGTAGGGTTAGCCTAGGTTAGGAATAATCTATAGCTTAATATAATATATTAATTAGATACCTCTATAGCTAAATCTCACGCTATAAGTATCTTTTTTAGATATACTACAGAGTCTGAGGCCCTCTTCTGACTGGCCGCCCCTGGTAGTTAGGAAAAGGACCATGTCTTGGGCCTCAAGGAGATAACGTGTCAATCTGTAGAGAGGATGTCAAACGTAAGACATCAGAAGAAAGATGTGGGATTCAATATTCGCGCGCAGAAATACCATGTGCAAGGAACAGTACTTGATAATTGTCTTCTTCGAGTACACACCTTACTTTTGAAAGGTGAAATTCCTGTATTTCCCTGATAATCAACAGTTTCTATCTTTGAGCTTTTAAGAGACCTACTTTCACAATCTCGCATTAGATTCTCATCGGGTTTCTGCTGGAGTTTTCCAAATAACAGGTTCCACAATATGTGATGGGTATAGCAGCTCACGACGAACACCTGGCATCTATGAACGATTTTTCAGTTTGCCCCTGGCATAGTGTAGTCCCTAGAGTTACCACTGTAGCTGTGATTATAATGAATAAATAACCGGACTCGAGGCGAAACCCATAGGAAATGTTAGAGATCTTCCAATTGATATTTTGTGTGACATTCAACGCAAATCAGGCTGTGACATCTTTCTCATTTGTGCAGGTGATATTGAGGACCTTCTTGCAGCGTCCAGTGCCAATAGCTGTGGCTGTCCCCGCCCTATTTAGACTGCCCCTCTCAAATGTCCTGCTGCATGACAGCCGATATCTCCTCAGCCAAGAGCAATCAATATGTACAAGCCAATCAAGAACAAGAAATCAGAATCATGTGCCTAATGAGGGTGCATTGAACTGCAGTCAAAGCATTCCAATTTGTTTTCCCTGATATTCGTTGTACGTGATTTGTAATCTGACCAAAGCGATCTTCTATTCGAACTTTTGTCGAGGGCAATTAATATGATAACTGCTCGATTGAATTTCCGTCCGCTCCATGGCTGCATTTTGCTACTGTGCTGCTCTTCCAACACAGAGATCCATGGATTAGGGCATTGACCCATCCGTCACCACTCACAAGGCTGTCTCGTTGTGGTCAATCTGCCCCGTTGCTATCCGATGCATCATGCAGGAAGGTGCATGTATCTGGAAGGATCATCGCAGAATTCACCACATTCGAGCAGATGACTGCATCAACCTCATCCTTTTCGGATAGCAACTCATGCGTTACCTCATAGACCCCACGTGGACATTAAGCAACCCGACCTTGCGTCCGTCTCAACCCCCCCCCCCCTCTCTCGTATTTCAAGTCTTTTCTGTTGAAATTGTTTAGAGCCCTGAGTGCCGACAAGAGGACACTGCATGGTGTCACTCGAGGATTCCACGTAGTCGCTGCCCGCAGTACATGCTAGAATGTCTGGACATTGTCACCTACTGATTTCTTATTTATTGATGGATCACATTGTGAATTTCTATATGAAGTGAAAGCGTTGCCCTTACTCCATAGTTGGGTCCTCAGATAACCCGAAAATGCGCGTTCGTAATCCCTTCCTATCTCTGACTCTTGTGCTTTTCGCCGTTCGTGCCCTCTCCGCACCGATTTTTAATGATGAATTTGCTGCGGCATTACAGAGCATTGGGATCTCGCTATTAAATCCTATTCTATCGGCTGTAAAAGCCGTTCTCTCAGGCCAGGGTCTAGTGCAAGGTGTGCTCGGTGTCGTTGAAGGCGCCCTAGGAACCGAAGCCACATACGACTATGTGGTGGTAGGAGGCGGCACGGCTGGCAACGCCATTGGCTACAGACTTGCAGAAGCCGGGCACTCAGTCGCCATCATCGAAGCGGGTATTTACTATGAGATCGCTAAGCCCGTCTTGGGGACGACACCAGCTGGTGACATTATTGGTATCGGATCGAGCATTTACGACACCGTCCCTACAGTTGACTGGGCATTTCAGACCGAGCCCCAAGTTGGCGCAAACAACCGCAAAGTTCACTATGCACGAGGCAAGTGCCTGGGCGGCAGCTCGGCGCTGCATTTCATGATCCATCACAGAGGTAGCAAGGGGTCTTACGATATGTGGGCTTCAGAAGTTGGGGATGACAGCTACCAGTGAGCTTGACACGGGTCGTTGAAAATACAAAAGATGCTAATACGCCAAAGGTTTGACAACTTCCTACCCTATTTCGAGAAGTCAACAAGCTTTACGCCTCCTGATACCACTAAGCGCCGATCAAATGCGTCGACGCAATATGATCCCGACGTCTTCAGCTCACCTGGAGGCCCTGTGCAAGTTGGCTACACAAACTGGGTATCAGCTTGGGCGACATGGTTGGAAAAGGGATTGCAAGCCATTGGTATGAACCGCACCACCGGCTTCAGCAGCGGCAACCTCTTAGGATACCACTACTCGCAGTCCACAGTGCGTAGCTCGGACCAAACGCGCAGCTCTTCTGCAGAGTACATATACAAGGCTGTCGATGAGAACCTGGACAAGCTTAAGGTTTATACTCAGACCATGGCCAAACGCATCGTCATCAACGAGAACAATACCGCTACGGGTGTTGAGGTCAAGTCTGTGGGCGTAGGCTACACTATTCACGCCTCGAAGGAAGTGATCGTCTCAGCAGGTGCCTTCCAGTCTCCACAGCTTTTGATGGTCTCGGGGATTGGGCCGGCTGTTACTCTCGCTGAGAACAAAATTCCTCTCCGAGTAAATCTTCCCGGGGTTGGACAGAACATGTGGGACCATATCATGTTTGGGCCCGCCTACGAGGTCAACTTTGACACTCTGAACCGCGTTCTGCATAACCCAGTTGTGCTCGCCCGCAGCCTCATTGACTACATTAGCGATGGCACAGGGCCCCTGTCCTCCAACGTGGTTGAGTTCATCGGTTGGGAAAAGCTGCCGCAGAAGTACCGCAACACTTGGTCGGCGGCTACTCGAGAAGCTTTGTCTCAATTTCCCGATGACTGGCCCGAGGTTGAGCACATCAGTGGTAACGGCTATATTGGCAATTTCCGCTTTCCAGCGCTGCAACAACCACTCAACGGAAAACAGTACGCAACGATCCTGGGTGCTATGGTAGCCCCAGTCAGCCGGGGCAACGTAACGATCAAATCCTCCGACACTGCCGTTCTGCCGCTCATCAATCCGAATTGGCTGTCTGCCAAGGCTGACCAGGAAGTTGCTATTAGCTGGTGGCGCCGGATGCGCGAGGTTTGGAATACAGACGTGGTGCAAGAAATTGTCATTGGTGAGGAGTACTGGCCTGGCCTGGACAAGGACACTGATGAGGAAATCTTGGCTTTGATCCAGGATAGTCTAATGACGGTATGGCACGCTGCCGGTACCTGTAAGATGGGGAAGAGGAGCGACGAGATGGCTGTTGTTGATAACGAGGCCAAAGTTTTCGGTGTTCAAAGCTTGCGGGTTGTTGATGCATCCAGCTTTCCCATTCTTCCTCCTGGCCACCCTCAGAGCACCGTTTACGCGCTAGCCGAGAAGATTGCAGCAGGAATCGTGGGTGAAGGGGCTACTTAGATAGAACGCACAGGTTCCATACTGCTTTCCTTGACTGATAGAGAGCAAAAGTAGGTCAATTGTCCACGCGGTGGTGTGCCCACGAAATGGATGAATTTATCATAATGCTTTTGATCGCCTTGTCAAACGCGTCAACATTCAATTGTAAAATCCAAAAACATCTACTAATTACGTCGACATCTCTCTTCCGAACTTAGTCGTCCTCTTCCCCACTGTTTACTTCATCGTCAAACAAGTCGAGAAGGGTCTCATTACCATCATCCTCATTGTGCTGGCTTTGAGCGCTATATTCAATGCCTCTAATATTGCTTCCCTTCGTCAACTCCCGCCTCGATTGTTCTCAACATCGAGCATTCCAAACTCAGGCTCATATTAGAGAAGTTATTTATCAAGATCGGCGCAGCTCAACCCTCAGGACTTCCATACAATCGGGTGGGCGGCCTTTCGAATGTTGGCTTCATACGAAGTCGTTAACAGACATTCACACCGTGATCCGGTGCATGTAAAAAGCTTGACTACCGAGACCGGGTCATCGGTCACCACTGCTCTTGGTGCTGGGTTAGCGGCGCTTATCATCTACTGCGCCCGAGTCAATCAGATGTATGGCAGCTCCAAGTTGAACGATGAGGACATTGCGAAGCTACTGAAGAGTGAGGACATGGTCAAGACAATTTCGAGCTTTGGTCTGAGTGCCTCGAAGGAAACCGAGGACAAATTCATTGAAGTCTGGAACGAACTTGAGGGCACGACCAAGAAGTTGACAACAGTCAAGGGCACCAGAGCTGGAGAGATAATAGCCGAGCTTTCCAGGGATCTGATATTCCCATCGAAACTTAGGTGTTTGATAGTCTGTGGTCAACAGAAGTAAAACGGTTCAGAGAGCCTTGGCATAAAACAAAGTCGTCTATTCTAAGAAAAGTATCAATTCCCGCCCCCGCCCCCGTTAACCTTTTCAATTATACTTCGTTATATTCTCAGGAAAGTGATGATAATAGACAACAACAACATCAGTGAATACGCCCTTCACATCTCCCCCATCATGAATACCATTGGATCATTCGTCCTCATTATTAGATCCTGCAGGTCATCGAGCGGCTCCATTCCTTCTGTAGAGTCGTAAACGTCCTCCATAGACCCCAAGTGGTCTGAGCCGCTCTTTGTCGACGGGTGTTCCACCTCGTTATCCTTGAGAGCAATGATGTCACCCATCGCATTCAATGACGACGGTATATCTTGTGTCTTCTCCTTAAAGGATCCCAATTCCCGACGACATAGCCCCTTCAATGCTGTCCATAAACAGTGGTCGTCTGTCGTCCATTCTCTGTGACCTCTGATAAAGTTTGCCGCGACTTCGTGCGCTTCTATCTGGGCGTACCTAATCGCGCGGAGGTACTGCAGGCGATCTCTGTCCGTTGTCCGCGCCCCTATACTAAGAAGATACTGGATCATATCGATTCTCCCATGCTCTGCTGCACCCTCCAGTGCTGTGCGACCTCCGCATTCAGCACCGGGTGCATTGATATCGGCTCCGTGGTCGATCAACGTTCTCAGAATTCCTAGCCTCCCCCCGATGGCTGCAAGCTGTAAAGCGGTTGCCCCATGGCGTCTGGTGGCAGGAGTGTTGACGTCAGAACCATACTTAAGCAGCAGATCAATTAGATATAGATGGCTGTTCTCGACAGCTGACTGGAGAGGGCTTCTGGCACCCTCCAGGTCATCGCCGAACACATGATAATTGTCCTCGTTGACGTCTTCTCCATTTTCCAGGAGAAACCCCACGACATCGTACCTTTTACGCGCCACAGCGTATGATAAGGGCCCTTGAATGAGATCAGGGCAGTATGATAGTCTGGGTGACTTCACTAGTGTTTTGAGGATGTCTGGGTCAAAATCATTAATCGCCGCACTGTTGGTCTCACAGGACTAGCTAGCTGGTAAGGGTCACTATAGGCAGTAAATATTATATTATATTAACTGCGTTAGTGGTAATATATATATAGTTAACTATATTAGAGGTAGTAGCTGCGATCGTAGTATTAATCGTAGAGGGTAATACCTTATACAATTACTAATTATATAAGGTATACCTAGCTTAATTAATACTATAATAGGCTAGCGTTACTAATATTAGTAACTTTCTCTTTTTACTAGTATTAATATAGTTAATAGTAACTATAGTATAGTTTAAAAAGAAGTTATTAAATAATATATAATATAAAAAGTAGTAATTATTAGTAATTATAATAATTACTTATAACCTCTACTATAGTAATTACTTTATAACTATTACTTAATCCTACTTTAGACTAGTATTAGTAATTAGTACTACTTAAGTCTATATAACCTATCCTTCTATTTATATTATTATTAAGTTTATATTAAAGAAGTATATAAAGTATTAGTTAGGCTTTATTTTAGTAAAGGTATTAGTAAAGTTATTATTACTATTAATCTATTATATTTTATATAGTTTATAGCGTTTATATAACTACTATAGAGCTATAATATTAATTATTAAATATTTCTCTTTTATAAAACTTAGCTTAATAAAGTACTTATATAATAAGTATAAGTTAGTATAGATAATAGTAGGTATTAAAGGTAAGTTAAGCTATTTAGTAATTATTTAGAGGGTTATAGAGATAGTATAGGCTATATTAATACTAGTAACTATACTATAGACCTTAGAAGCTAGTATACTTTAAATAACTTATTTACTTTTTATTAAACTAAAGTAAATAATATTATTATTAATTATAAATTTATTCTTATTAGAAAGGGTTTTATTAGTAAGAATAATAGTAAAGCTAAGCTATAATATAAGGTTAGTATTATTAATAAATAAGCTATTAATAAAAATAAGGAGTTTAGTAGTTAATAAGTTAATAAGTATAAATATTAATCCTTATACTAGTAAATCTATTTACTATTATAATTATATATTAAGGACCTTAATATTATTAAGTAAGGGGTTTTAATACTAAATAGTAGTTAATAGATTATAATATACTTTAAGCTAGTAAATTAATATAATATATATATTATATATATATTATTTAATATATTACTTCTTAATAGTATTAGAGGTAATATTAGTATTAATCAAAGTAAGCTTCTTACTTTAGCCCTTCTAGTAGAGAATAATTATACTTAACTTATTAATACTAATAATACTACTATTAAATATTAATAGTTAGTTAATAATAAGTTATTACTTAGCTTTTATTATAAACGAGGCTTTAGTTAGAGCTTTATCCTTATAAGCTAAGAATTTAGTATTAGTGAGGCTTAAAATATTATTAGTTTATATACTAATAACTATAAAGTTAGAGTTAATTATTAAAAAGACTAAAAGGTAGAGGTTATAACTTAAAGTAACTATCTAGAAAACTTCTCTATAGTAATAGCTATATATAGTTTATTAATAGGTATTAACCTTAGTAATACTATAAAGTAGCTTAATAACTCTTATAATAGTACTTTCTAAGTATTAGTTATAAATCTAAATAGATAAATATATTAGGATTATTCTATTAAGCTTTATTACTAATTAGATATATACCTATATTATATTATAAAGCTAGAAAATCTTACTAGAAAGTAGTAATTATAATATAATAGTGAGGATAAAGTATTAGCTTATATACTATATTATTAATAACTATATTAAGATCACTTCCTTATTATTATTAATATATCTCTAGATAATAAGGTAGGACTTCTTATAAAACTTATTAATATTCTTACCTTTAATCTTATTAACTATTTATAATTAGAAGATATAGATATTTATATACTTAATAAAGTTATATATAATTATCTTAAAGATACCTTAATTAATAAATCTCTTAACTTTAGCCTTATTAGATTACTTAAAAGGATAGCTAGGTATATTAATCTTACTTATTTTATAAAGCTATATAACTAGGTTAAAGTTAGTATATTCCTTATTAGTTAAAAAGACTTTATTAATAATAAAGAACATAATAGTAGTATTAATATTATTAACCTCTAATATAAAGTTAATACTAAGAATAAAGTTAATATTAACTATCTTTACTATAAATATCTATCTTTATAAACTTTAATATAGCTTACTTAGGGGTAGCTTTAAGTATTCTTCTCCCTTATAAGGCTAGTTATATTAGTATAGTAGTAGTAATATTAATATTAGTAATCTTTTTTAGTTTTCTTTTATTAATATTACTAATACCTTAGAGACGTTTAATAGAGAGTTAATATCAATAATATCTTTATCTAAGTTATTATAAAAAGGCTTAATATAGGTTAATTAAAATATTCTTAGTCTATAAAGTAGGTTAAGTATATAGTCCTCCTTATTAATAGAGAGAAGTTTATATAAGCTAGTTTAGTTTTTATTCTTATACTATATAAAAATATCTAACTATAGTAGGAGGGTAAGTATTAATAATATATTTAAGCTATTATAGAGAATAAAGGTATTAGAGACTTATTACTTAGTATATATATAGTAGAGTTTATTAGTAGCTTTTTATATAGTTTCTTAATACTTCATAATACTTAAAAATAGTATTAAATCCTTAGTTATTTAAAAGTAGGCACTAAAAATAAGTAAAGTTAAGATTAAACTATTAGGCTTAGTAGTATTATTAATAGTCTTAATAGTTATCTATAAAACTTATTTATAAAAAATAAAAAGGTCTTTAGTATAAATAATATTATAAGTATAGTATAAAGTAATATAATAATATTTAACCTTATTAATATTATAGTAAGCCTTAATAGGGACTTCTTTAATAGTAATTACTAAGGTATAAGTAGTATACTTAAATTTATAGCTATAGAAATTAATACTAGTATCTATAGTAATAAAGTTAAGAAGGCTTTAATAGATATTAATTTAATATATATATAGAGCCTCTTAAGTATACTAAGTTAATAGATCTTTAAGGAAATAAGCTATATTAAAGCTAGTAGTACTATTAATAATATAAAGTATTAGCCTATTACTATTAAGATATATAATATCTATAAAAATCTTATAATTAAACTTATTAAGTTTGTAGTTATAATGCAGCCCTCCTATAAAAAGACTATAGCAAAATTCACCCTATATATAGGTATAATTCTAGAAACACTATATAGGCACTTTAACCTATACCCTCTACTAGTTAGGGAAAATAGTATAGAAACCCTATACGTTCCTACTAATAAGTAAACCCTTATATAAAGTTAAATGCACGCTCTAGCTAAATAGACTAGTAGAATAGTAATAGTGCTAGCTATATAGCGTAAGGCTAGTAGTAGTAGTACTATATATAGTAGGGCTAATTATATTAGGGCTAAATAGGTTACTAAGGCTCTTATAGCTTAGTAATAGCTTTACTGAACCTTTTAGTAAGGTGAACGCTACTATAAGAGAGATAACTCCTTAACTAAAGAGGTTATCCTAAGAGGTTCTTATAGCTAGAAGTATAAAAACTCTATTATAGGTAGGGCTTTATACCCTTCCCTCTTCCTCTTCTTCACTTTTAAACCTATATTAATAACCTATCCTTATAACTTATAATAAATCCTTTATAATATCTACACTATATAAAGTACTTAAATTTACTAAGTATAAGCTAAGTAATACCCTTATCTCTATAAATAATATATAATATATCTAGAATAACTTTAACTTTAGTATACTTAATAAAAAGCTCTTATTTAAAAAATAATTTAAAGAAGATTAAAAGTATATTATCCTAATAGCTTTATTAATAAGCCTCCTAGAAGCCCTTATAAGTAGTAATATTATCCCTCTTATTAAGAAAACTTTAAATAATATTAATATAAAGTTTAACTATATTTTTAGCTACCCTAATAAATAGGACTTCTTCTCTAAAGTACTTAAAGGTACTAAAGAGGATATAGGCCTTATATAGAGCTTATTAGTAAGTACACTTTATATTGAATAGAGAGAGCATTACTAATAATAGTATAGCTATTAATAGTAGATAGTGAAGTAGTGATAGAGATAGTATTAATAGCGTAAGTAATACATAAGAGAGAGGATAGGTTAATAGTTTAGTAGTTAGTAATTAAGTAATTAAGTAATTATAAACTATATTATTATTAAAGTGAAGTTAAAGATCGTAAGGTTATCTAGTAGTGTATATATAAGTGCGGCTGTAGTTAGGAGAGCTATAATTATATAACTGAAGGCTGTATATATTATTAGGAGGCGTGGAGTTAGGAGGTCTGTCGCTCTAAGTAGGTAAAAATCACTATAAATAGCTAGAGGCTTAATTAAACTTATAGTTATTATATAAAGTGAATTTAAACCTTTTAAGTTAACTAGTATAGAGTTAATAGTACTAGTAAACCTTAGTTAGATAGGTAAAGAGGCCTTTATTAACCTTATATCTAGCCTTAATAAGGATATATTAAAGTCTAGTAACTAATAAGTAATTAAAATAGTAGTAGAGTTATTAAAGTTTAACCTTACTAAGGTAATAGTAAATAACTAACTATTCCTATTAGAGAAGTATCTAGAAATACCTTTATTTATAGATAACTAGAACTTTAAGGTCTCTCTACTTTATAATATTATTAAAGTTATTAAATATAACTTCTATTTTATCTATATTATAAAAGTAGTATAGGAAGGGTATATTTATTAATATAATATAGAAAGTAATAAGACTAAATAGTATAAGGACTTTAATAGATCTTAAGAAGTAAATAAAGTTACTAAGGCTAAATCTAATAATAGCTACTCTTAT